AAATTACACTTATGAAGTAGCAATGAAAACAATGTTATGGTTGGGGGTCACCACAACATATGGAACGGCATTAAGGGGTCACGGCATTAGCAAGGTTGAGAACCACTGCCCTAAAGGCACCATATCCCATCTGATCTTGGAAGCTAAACAGGACCAACCCCTGTTAGTAATTGGATCAGAGACTGCCAACACTTACCAAATGTGGAAGGCTATATATCAGAGGAAAAAACTGGCAAAATCGCCTTTGACTATTCCCTGCCTAACAAAACCCTATAAAATCCATGGGGTTGCCATAAGTCCATAGGCAAGTTGAAGACAAACATATACAGAGAAAAGTTACATCCTCATGTGCAACTTATATTATGAACTAGCAATTGTCCAAGATGATGGCCACCACCTCATTGTGGTTTATGCATTATTTCTTAAAGGAATTTAAATAGTGCGTTATAATTGAACAACATATAATAATATTACAGTAACTTTAACAAAACTCCAGAACATGATTTAAAAACAGACAAGAAACAATTTTTGAACTTCAGAACTGATAAGACAAGCTCTTTGATTGTAAGTGTGGACAAGTCTACATAGGGACCACCAAACGCAGCGCCCAAACACGAATCAAGGAACATGAAAGGCACTGCAGACTACTTCAACCAGAGAAGTCAGCCATAGCAGAGCACCTGATGAACCAACGTGGACACAGCATATGATTGGAGAACACAGAAATGCTGCACCACTCTAACAACCACCATGTCAGGCTACACAGAGAAGCCATTGAAATCCCAAGATGTTGTGCCACCGGGGTCTTGTTTTGTTGTGTCCAGCGCGCCCAGGCGCTGTACTATCTCAGTCTTGGAGCTGCTCCTGCTTGTTTCGCTCCACCATCCATTCTGTGTCCTTATACTCTCTCTTGGCCTAAGGTGGTACATTTGCAGGTCTCGTACTCACTCTGTGTCCTGCGTGTCATCCATTTACCTCCTGACTACCCTCACATTGTCTCTAGGGTCGCTGCCTGGGCATATAGTTTCACACTCGCTACATGCACTAATTCTTTTCGTCAGCGCGCTACAGGCTCAAGCCTCTCTCAGAGACGACAGAGAAGCTGGATGCCATGATATAATGCAGCAGTCATCGGGGGTGTGAGCCAGGCACTCTCAATTATCATTGCTAATCAGTGGTCAGTTGAAACATTCACACCTAGCTCCAGCAGACAAGAGTCCTTTGTCCCACCCTGGTCATTCCACAGATATATAAACCCACTTTCCTAGTTCCAATAGACCTCACTACCTCTGAGGATGCTTGCCATAGATGCAGGCGAAACGTCAGGAAAAAATGCCTCTAGAACATGGCCGTATAGCCCGAAAAAACCTACAACAACCCAGTGATTCCGGCCATGAAAGTCTTTGACAATACATCAAATTAATGTAGTTTGGCACCACTTGTAGGTTTACACAGTCTTTAGCATTTCTTTCTTTCTTTCTTGCCAGAGTGCTGGCGCCCCACCTAACTACAACTCCTGACAGCAGCATTTGGGGGGGGGGGGGGGGGGTTGTCACAAATGGGCTGCCAAAGACCATCAGAAAACACAGTATTTTCTGTTGGTCATGGGGGTTTCTGTGTGGGAAGCTTGGCCCCATTCCATCATTGGTGGAGTTCAAAATGCTCTTTGATTGTAAGTGAACTATAAATCCCAGCAACTACAACTCCCAAATGACAAAATCATCCCCCCAACCCCACCAGAATTCAAATTTGGGCGTATCAGGTATTTGTGCCAAATTTGGTCCAGTGAATGAAAATACATCCTGCAAATCTGATATTTACATGACGATTCATAACAGTAGCAAAATTACAGTTGTAAAGTAGCAACAAAAATAATTTAATCCAGCTTTAATCCAGTTTAAAGCAGAAAACCTGGGATCAGATCCTGGGATATAGGGCCTGTCTGGAAGAACCCAAAGTCATCCATGAGTTTCAAATTCATCAACCCTACAAGGGGAGAATTGCTATTAATGATCAGAACACCATTGATTCACACACACCTTATTTCTGCAATGCAATCTTGTAAATACAAATGAAAAAAACCCAAGGCAAATGAAATAACACTGCTTCCAAAGTGGGTAGCACTTTAGTTAAGGACTGTGGTGAGTAGGGATAAACTTAAGCCTTTACTTTCATTACAGCACCATACTCTCGCTTTGTGGTTTATAGTTTGCGGAGTTGTTACTTCTGGGATTTGTAGTTCGGGGAAGTGGTGGTAAATGCTTGTTCTTCTACAAATTACTATTTCAGTGGGAGAGGCAGTCAGGGGTACAGTGTCTCTTATCTTACAAAATAAGTTGGATTCCAGAGCTATGCATGCTTTCCTCTCTTTTTTTGGAAACCTGGCACGTTTCTCTGGCACTTTCTCTAACAGCCAAAGTGGATATTACACCAGGCAAAGGTCTCCAAGTGAGCTGACAGCTGTCTGCTTGGTTCCCTGATCGCTCCCAGACGTTTTCCAGATCATGTTTCTAGGAATTTGGCAGCCGACAGAAGAAAACCATTTCCAGTTGTTGGCCTTGTTTTTCTTTCATGAATCCTTGGACTTGTTAATGGAGGCCCCTATGGACTGGCAGAACAGAAGGTATGCATCCTGTCCTTGTAGGACAGAACTCAGCTTGAAGTGTTAATCTTTTGTATTTTTTTGCAGGGAGTTCAATATTTCTAAACCCACTGAACCCAAACCCCAACGCTGCCTCTTAGGAAGGGATATAGTTAAAATAGTGGCAGTACCCAAGTTACAAACAAGACAGGTTCTGTAGGTTTGTTCTTAAGTTGAATTTGTATATAAGTTGGAACAGGTACCACAGTACTTAACAAGGGGTTTTCTCTGCTTGCCTTGAAGTCACATTCCCTGTTTTCTCTCACAGGAGGGCCTCCTGCTATTTTATCATATAATCATGGAGTTGGGCTATCCAGTCCAACCCTCTGTCAAGAAGCAAGAAAATTGCATTCAAAGCACCCCTGACAGATGGCCACTCAGCCTCTGCTTAAAAGCCTCCAAAGAAGGAGCCTCCACCACATTCTGGGGCAGAGAGTTCCACTGCTGAACGGCTCTCATAGTCAGGTTCTTCCTAATGTTCTGATGGAATCCCCTTTCTTGTAGTTTGAAACCATTGTTCGGTGTCCTAGTCTCCAGGGCAGCAGAAAACAAGCTTGCTCCATCCTCCCTATGACTTCTCCTCACATATTTATACATAACCATCATGTCTTTTCTCAGCCTTCTCTTCTGAAGGTTAAAAATGCCTAGTTCTTTTAGCTGCTCCACATAGGGCTTGTTCTCAAGACCTTTGTTCGTTTTAGTTGCCCTCCTCTGAACACATTCCAGCTTGTCAATATCTCTCTTCAATGGTGGTGCCCAGAACTGGACACAGTATTCCAGGTGTGGTCTGACCAAGGCAGAATAGCCTTCTTCACTTGACTCAACTCGTCTGTCCGTGTGTCCATCCCTGTGCCACCCCCTTGAGCGCAGAAGTGAAGGGAACCTCTGAGAGAATGCATAGTTCCCCCTTCAACAGTAACACTTTAAAGGGCTTTAACGACAGGTAAAGGTAAAGGTTTTCTCCTCACATTAAGTCTAGTCATGTCTGACTCTGTGAGTTGGTGTTCATCTCCATTTCTAAGCCATGGTCATATAGCAGGCATGACTGCATGGAGTGCCGTTACCTTCCCGCAAAAGTGGTACCTATAGATTTACTCGCATTTACATGCTTTCGAACTGTTAGATTGGCAGAAGCTGGGGCTAGCAGCGGGAACTCATCCCACTCCCCAGATTCGAACCGCCAACCTTTCAGTCAGCAAGTTCAGCAGCTCACCAGTTTAACCTGCTGCGCCACCAGTGGGCCCTTGAACTGCCTGTAGTTTCCTTTATTCAATGGAAAAATTATTATTATTATTATTATTATTATTATTATTATTATTATTATTATTACATAACAACACACTTTGCTCTTTATTTCATGAGAAATAGGCCTCAGGTTTCTGACAGTTAAGCTTCCTACTTCTGTAAAAGTTGAGAATAGCATGTCAGTGATGTCAGTTAAGAATAATGTCTTCATAAATACGAACGTACATATTGTGCGTTTATATCAGGGAAGGATTCCAATCTTCAATCACTGTATTCAACTACTTACCAATATATGTATATGTAGCCTTTGGTGGACTGGGTAGGAGAGAGTGGACTGGGCAGGAGAGAGGAGGCACTCAGGTTCATTTATCGTGTCAGAAGTGAACCGAGGGTACAGTTGCAATGTATTTAAGAAGCACAAAGTTTAAAAACTTGGCATTATATTAAATGTCCTTTGACCAGTAGCTGGTCACTTGGAGTGTCTCCGTGTTGCTATAAGAAGGCCCTCCATTGTGCATGTGGTAGGGCACTAACTGCATTGTAGTTGGTGGTCTGTGGTTTGCGCTTCTCCACACTTACATGTTGTGGACTCCACTTTGTGGCCCCATTTCTTAAGGTTGGCTCTGCATCTCGTGGTGCCAGAGCACAGTCTCTTCCAAGTCGCCCAGTCTTCTGTGTGCCCAGGAGAGAGTCTCTCATTTGGTATCAGCCATGGGTTAAAGTCCCAGATTTTTGCACTGCCAATTTTGGACTCTTGCTTGCTAAGGTCTTCCTGCAGGTATCTCTGTAGATCATAGAAAACTATTTCTTGATTTAAGGCGTTGGCGTGCTGGCTAGTATCCAACCAGGGGATGGGCCGGAGATGTCACCATCATGGTCCTTTCATTATGGGCTGCTCCTTCCCGGCGGATGTCAGGTGGAAGCAACCAGAGGCACTCAGGTAAAAGCTGCTTTGAAGGTCACGAGAGGTTAGGGTGCGTCTTTACTGTAGAATTAATCCAGTTTGGGACGTCTTTAACTAGGCTATAGTTGGGAATATAGTTAGGCTGTTAGGAATGGTGGGAGTTGAAGTCCAAAACACTTGGAGGAGGGCCGAAGTTTCCCCAGGCCTGGCCTAGGCCTTCCTTCCTTCCTGCCCCGCCGCCTGAGATTTGCATAGACGGAGCGTGCGACTTCCTGGAACGAGAGGCGCTGCCTCGGCCTCTTACCTGGCTGGAGGAGGAGGAGGAAAGAAAGGCCGGAAGCAGGCCGGGTGGCAGCCCCGCAAGGAGAGGCTGCTGTTGCCCCTTCTCCTCCTCCTTGGAGGCCCTCTCCTTCCTTCCATCCTTCCTTCCTGAGGGGTGAGTGCGTCCCAGGCCTTCCCCCCTCTGCCCCACTTTCTTCCCCTCGCCTTCCTTCTCACTGTCGTTTCTCCCCTCAGCATGGCCCTTCCCCTCTTCTCTCCCACAACACAAAACGGGCGTTGAGTGTGTCTGTGGGATTCACAGAGGGTGTTTCACCACTTTCCCTGCCTCAGCTCAGTGCTAAGGGATCAGGGGAGCTGTAGTTTTTGCAGGCCCTCACTGCCTCCCAGGATCACATCGCACTGAGCCATGGGGGTTCAATGGGGTGTCCCAAATGCATTCATTCTCTCTAGGCATGGCCAAACCTGGGCCTTCCAGGTGTTTTGGACTTCAACTCCCACCATTCCTAACAGCCTCGGGACCCTTCCTTTCCCCACTCAGCAGCAGCAAACCTGGGCCTTCCAGCTGTTTTGGATTTCAGCTCCCACCATTCCTAACAGTCTCAGACCCCTTCCTTTTCCCCCTCAGCCGCAGCAAACATGGGCCTTCCTCCAGGTGTTTTGAACTTCAACAATCAAGTGTCTAGAGAACAAGCCCTATGAGGAGCAGCTTAAGGAGCTGGGCATGTTTAGCCTGAAGAAGAGAAGGCTGAGAGGAGACATGATAGCCATGTATAAATATGTGAGAGGAAGCCACAAGGAGGAGGGAGCAAGCTTGTTTTCTGCTTCCCTGGAGACTAGGACGTGGAGCAATGACTTCAAACTACAAGAAAGGAGATTCCATCTGAATATGAGGAAGAACTTCCTGACTGTGAGAGCCATTCAGCAGTGCAGTGGAGGCTGGTGGAGGCTCCTTCTTTGGAAGCTTTTAAACAGTCTGGATGGCCATCTGTCATCTGTCAGGGGTGCTTTGAATGCAGTATTCCTGCTTCTTGGCAGGGGGTTGAACTGGATGGCCCATGAGGTCTCTTCCAACTCTATGATTCTATGATTCCCACAATTCCTAAAAGCCTCAGGCCCCTTCCTTTCCCCCCTCAGCCGTGGCAAACCTGGGCCAGGTGTTTTGGACTTAAGCAGCTGAGGGGGAAAAGGAAAGGGCCTGAGGTAGTTAGAACGGTGGGAGTTGAAGTCCAGGTTTGCCTGTGCCTGTTGTAGAATGATGCACCCCAGTTAGCATAGTCAGGAATTGAAGTTGCAGCCTCTGGAGTATCAAAGTTTGCAGATTGTTGTTTTTTATTTACCTTGACTAGAATTCCTGGGCTTCTTCTTATAACTTGATGTTAGGAATTGTGGGAGTTGAAGTCCAAAACACCTGGAAGGCCAAGGTTTGCCCATGCATGAGGTAGGGCATGCATCTGCACTGAAGAATTATTGCAGTTTGTCAACATCTTAACTGCCATGGCTCAATGCTATGGAATCCTGGGAGTTGTAGCACTACAGTGTCCACCAAAGGGCGATGGTGCCCAAACTACCACTCCCATGATTCCATAGCCACGGCAGCTAAAGCGGTGCCAAACTGCATTCATTCTACAGTGTGGAACAAGAATGAGAAAACTTCGGTCCTCCAGGTGTTTGGGACTTCCAACTCTCACTGGGCTGGAGTTTGCCCATGTTTGGTGTACAATGATGTAGCCCAGTTAGCATAGCCAGGAATTGAAGTTGCAACCTCTGGAGTACAAAAGTTTGCACATTGTTGTTTTGGATTGCTAAAGGGCCTTGTCTAGGGTTCCAGGGCTGCTTCTTATAACCCTTGTGCTTGTTTTGGTGTCATAAACCCTCCATAACCAATGCTGAGGCTGCAGTTCTCTGCACACTTATTAGAGGCATGCAGCAGGGCTTATTTCAGGGTAATTGCAGATAGGATGCCCTGCAGATGGGTTTAGTGAAATAAATTTTAATAAAAAATGCATATACATATATTTAGGCATTATCAGAGTGTGGACACAGATAACCCAGTTCAAAGCAGATATTACAGAATTTTCTGCCTTATATTCTGGGATATAGGGCTATGTGGAATGGCCCCTAGTCTCTGGCTGTTTACAGTGGATGTTTAATTTCTTGCGGTCAATGATAGGAGCAATCACAATTGTTGATATAGATATCTTTGCATGTTACACAGTCAATGATAGGGGGCCATCTCTGTGGAGTGGCTCATCATGGGCTTTCTTTTCATCCTTCCTTTCCCAATATTCCTGAAGACTTTTTTTATTCCACTGGGATTTTGTTGCTTTCTGCTGCTTCAAGAAAAGTGATGTTATGTTGATTTCATTGTGGCTATGCATTCTTACTTTTATTATGATTTTACTGTTTTGTTTTTAAATTCTCAACCACTTCCATTTTTCTCCATAAGGAATGTTTTTAATCTTACTTCTTCACTATTGCTGTTAAATTTGGGCTCTTAATTCTGACACAGGAAGACCCGAAATATGAAATGCTGTGTTCACTGGCTTTTAATTTGCAATGAATTCACAAGTCAGAATTGTGTTTTTAGGCAGCACAAAAATGTACCCTGAGCACATTTGATATGTACCATGATATCTTGCTACTGGATGAATGGTTAAATAATCAGTAATGCCAAAAGCGATCAGCAGGTAGATTTTAAGCATTATTCTATTCTCCTTTTCAGGGAGAAACCTGAGGTTGAAGATGAAACTAGCTGTCATTGGTTGGAACACTAGCTATTAGTGCTTTGTGCTGTCATATCTATCTGTCAGATAATCCAGAACGGAATGCAGCTAAAACCAGAATAGTTGCCTGGTTAAAATATTGTTTTGCTCTGTGAGACCTCTCTTGTGCTGTTTAATTTAAGAAAAATATATCTGAGGAAAATATATAAAGACAACTGAAATTTATTCTCTCACACATATGTTCATGTCACAGAATACTGTCTTTTTTGTTTCTCCTCCCCTGCCAGTATCTTAGCAATGGGCCTGTCTCATAGCAATATTAAATAGCATGAAATTGAAGGCCTTTGAAGTGGGAATTTACCTAGCTGAGCCATTCTTCGCTGCATATTCTTTCTCGCTGCTGTCAGAAGAAGGTGTAATCAAAATCAAGCTGGTTATACAGGCTCCTTTGGAGATCTCATCTGCTGACACAAGCCTTTAGAAAGGGAAACAGGCCATGAAGAATTATATTAAGAAATGTAAAGAATGGGCTTGAGCACACAGCTATAAGATTGCTTTAACACTGAAGCTCCTGGTGTTAGGAATCCGAACTCTCTGTCAGGACAGACTTATCCAAGATAAACTGGAACATCTGCTTCTTTTTTCTATTCCCTCCTATTTCCTTGAAAGCTTGAATGAATGTCGTTATCCATTGCCACAATCCTTTATCTGTGAACATTACTGTGCTTCACTGTTTTAGCTGAGGGAGAACATTTCCCACACCACTTCCATGCTTCCTCTTCCTTCAGCCAAACTGACAAGTTAAACAGAAGACTCTTAGTCCTGCCTCAAGATTTAGGACTTTAAAAAAGTAAACATTTGGAAGTGCCAGGTCACAAGAGTATTCTACTGTGCAAGTTACTGAAGGCTTCAGAGATTATTTACCCAAGGAATATCTGTGTTACTGTTTTCTATTAAAATACAAAGTGGAGGAAAAGAAATTACAAGGATTCAAGAGTTTAAATAATATGACAGTGTTTTGTTGTCTTAGGATGCATCTACAATGAATATTTAATACAATTTGACACCACTTTAACTGCCATGGCTTAATGCTATGGGACCATTGGAGTTGCAGCTTTATCAGGTTATAGGCCTTCTCGGCCAAAGAGTGCTTGTGCTTCACCAACACCCAGGATTTCATAATATTGGTCCATGGCAGTTAAAGCAGTGTCAGATTGTATTAAATATTCAATGTAGATGCACCCCAACTCAGACTTCATAGTTTTAACATTTGAAGTTTCTTGTAGGTCTGGTAATTGCAAAAGAATATGTAAAACAATGGCGACTGTTGTGTATTATATTGCTCTTATTTAATTCAGCAAAGGTTGAAGAATTCCAAGCTGCTCCAGGAAAAAGACTGAGTAGATAAATAAGATATTATTAATGTTATAATTGTATTGAGCAGTTTACTAAGCAAGTCATATTGAAAACCCTGTCTACAAGTAATATTGCTTGCACCAAACATCAGAGCATGGCATACAGAGAGAGGACATCCTTCCTATTGCGTCAGCTCCACTGGCTACAGTTCTGCTACCGAGCCCAATTCAAGGTGCTGGTCTTTGCCTATAAATCCCTAAACGATTCTGGTCCAACTTACCTGTTCGAATGCATCTCCTCTTATGAGTCAACAAGAGCTTTAAAATCAGCTGGGGAGGCCCTGCTCTCAGTCCCACCCCTCTTGCAAGTGCAATTGGTGGGGACGAGAGATAGGGCCTTCTCAGTAGTGACCCCTCAGTTGTAGAATCCCTCCCCAGCGACATCAGGCAGGCCCCATCTCTTCTGGTTTTCAGGGCAGGGGGAAAGCTAAAGATCTGACTCTGTACTACACAAGCATTTGAAGAATAAGTTATACGGGTTCTGATACAGTCTGAATAAGGATGGTGGATGAATGGAATTATGCACTTTATATGTTTTAATCTGCTTATTGTTCTATGTGTTTTATCTGCTTAATTGTTTTAGTTAATGGGATATATTTTATTGTTAGAATTTTAAGTTGCATTGCATTTTGCCGGAGTTGTAAGCAGCAGGGTGAAAAAGGTGTGGTATAAATGAAGCAAATCAATGATAATAAATAAATAAGAATGGGCCAAAATACCCACAAAGCTCTTCGAACAGCCCACCTTCAACCAAAAACCTTTCTTTTTGATCTGACCTTCCATTCTTTCACTGCAACTTCTGTGGAGTTCAAGTTCCTGAGCTTCTGTCATTCATCTTACTGTTTCATGGATCTGGTATGTAAGCCTCAAGGGGACCACTACTAAACAAATGACTATGTTGAACAGTGGCTCAATGTGGTAAAGTGGAACCCAGTCCTCCTTATTAGTTGTTTAAATGAAAACATTCAGGCAGAGTTGTGGCAAATAAAATGTGCAAAGATTTATCATGTAACTAGTAAGTTAAACATGAAGTCCCTGTAGTCTTTCCACACTTTCTGAGCTCTGCAGAACTCTGCTAAGATTTCCATCCCCCTCTTCCTAAATTGCACGAACACATGTAATCTTCTCAATATTTAATCTTTCCTGTCTGCCATGCCCCTCAATCGGGTTCTAACTGAACCTGTCTCTATTTTTTCTACATGGCTCCATGTAACCCATTAACAGAAAAGCATCTAATTTTATACTCTCCCTGCCCCAGGCTTCCCCTTCCATGGGCTGTGATGGATTGACTCTTCCCAGCTTGCCCAGCTTTTTGCTTCAGAGGGATAAATACTAAAGGTAGTTAAAAAAATAATATACCCTACCCCCAAATTAACTGTAGCTATCATAAGAAGTTCTAGAGTTTCTGGGGAAAGATAAATTGTTTTAATGCAGGGATGAAAATCACACAGGCTTCTAGGTGTTGGTAGACTGGAGTTCCCAGCATTCTTCACTGTTGCCTAGCCATGCAGGCATCTGAATTCCAGCAGCATCTATATGAGTCCCATCCTTGCTGTAGAAGCCAAAATGCAGAAGGGCTGTGATCCATTCTGTCTGATTCCTATCATATATAATTTATTGGCTCTCCATATATGTTGAGGTGATTATCTCTGAACACAGAGAAATTGCTACAGATGAAATCTGTAGGATCCTTGATAGGTATGAACAGTACTCGGTATTTTTGTTTCCTCCACAGAAACAGCCAAAATGAAATTGGACTTGTTTCAGTTTGATATTGAAGTGTTCCCTTTATGCAACTGCAAAATGAGTGAAGCTTGAAGGAACACATCAAACCAGCTCTCCTGGAACACATTATTATTCTTCCAAACTTGGCAGGAAAATTAACAATGAAGAACATGTGCTTCCTCAAATTAAATGCATGGATATATTTATTTTATTTGGACCAGAGAGATGCACAGGTCAGAATGGAGAAACAAACAATTGCTTGAAAGGAACTTCATCTTGTAGGTTTTCACCTCCATGTCTAATGGCAGCTTTTGGGAATGGGAGCCATCAGGATAAGAGCTGTGTGAAATAAGGGTTAAATCATCTCCCGTGGTTTCATTCCAGGGGGAAAAAGACAAATAAATATTCCAAAAATGCATATATGTGTCCCTTTCCATGGTAAGAAAAATATAGCATAGTGAACGAAAAATCATCCTTGGAAACATTTTGGAAGAAGCCTTTGAGTGATCTCTAGAAAGTCCAGAATGTTTTTTTTTTACTTGTACAAGACTTAGCTGACCTGGGTTTATTTTTGTTTCTTTTTTCATTTCATGTGCATATTGCTAGTTGTGCATAAAACATTTGTTCAGGTATGTGGAACCACTCTTCTTTCTTGTGGTATAAAATTTCTCCCTATTCTTTCCACATTATTTCTACCTGTGATTCAGTATATTTTGTTAAACAAGTAATGGTCAGGAACACATATGTTTCATTGACTGAGATATACCATATCGTATTCATCTATCGGAAGGATATCTAGTCCACCCTCTGTTTTTGCCAAAAGAAAAACAGTGACTAAATCAATTTCTCAGAGCGAACCATTAAATCACACTGATTCCAAGAGTCTGCTCTAGTTGGAAGGAGTAAATGGATTTAGGCTAAGTTTGGTCTTTTGGGTTTTTTTTTTAATTATCTCTTAGGTTTTGATGTGCTAAACTTTAAAGGAGAGTGCAAGATTAAATATATTAAATATATAGGCAGGGGTCCCCAAACCAAGGCCTTCCAAGGTCATTTACCTAGCTCCGACCCTAAACTGTAGACTTAGGGTTGCCCTAAGTCTGAAACAACTTGAAAGCACACAACAATCCTAATTAACTTGACTATCTCATCAACCAAAAGCAGACCCCCACTTCCCATTGTAATACTGGTAAGTTTATGTTGGTTAAAATTGTTCTTCATTCTAAATATTGTATTGTTTCTTTGTGGGTTTTTTGAACTACAAATAAGACATGTGCAGTGTCTTTCAAACACTTCCCAGCTTAATGTGGTGAAGTCCTTGGATAGAACACAAATGAGTGAAGGAGCTGTTATTTCTGAGTAGTAATGGTTGTATGTCTGTTTTCACAAAAAGCTTTCAAATGATAAAATACCCTGTGGCTGGGACAGGAAGAAGACAGATTGAAATCTGATGACAGATATCTGGTCATATGCAGTAGATCACCTTTTTTTAAAAAAACAGTAGCAAAATGCAAACTAAGCACTGTTTGGGTGCCACTATTCAATGACCTCTATTCCCAAGTAATTCTGATGTCAGTTCAGTGGCTGAAAGGAGGGGGGGGGGGGCAGAGATGGATTTCACTGCATCAGGATTATAAACTCAGTTCTGGTGCTAAAACAAATTCTTTGGATGCTCTAATGTTCTTCCAGTTATCATCTCAGTTTTCCTTGCAAAAGCATGCCACGCCTGATCAAACATCCTATTCTATATGAGTGAAAGATAATGCCCTCTGACCCCGTAACTGTATGGTCCTCATGTAACTTATCTGTCAGGTCAGGCCATCCAAATATATCCTCTACATTTGATTAAAAAAAAACCAGTTAAACATTGGGATGCCCTCCTACCCCTCCCCAAAAAGATTTCCATGTGTGCTATTTAGCTACATGTGTCCAGATGCAGTTAAAACAAACATGCATTAACAGGTATAAACCAGTTTTATTTATACAGGTAGTCCCCGGGTTACAAACATCTGACTTACAAACTACTCACGGTTAAGAACGGGGTGAGACAACAGGAAGTGAGAGAAATCTATCCCTAGGAAAGGAAAGGAAGAAATGCTAACAATACTTAGCAAAGACTTTACTTAAATTTTCATAACTCAAATTGCCAGTTCAAATTTTTAAAGAAAATTATTTTGGACTAATTATTTTATTGTATATTTTGTCTTTGAGATATGATTGTAATTAAAAGGTTGGTTGTTTAATAGCTGACTTTTTCCCAGCATGAATCAAAGGTATTAAACTTGTGGAAATATCATTTACAGAGATATTGAGTGGTTATTCTTTTGTCTTTGTTTTTATTTCCTCAGTTGACATTTTCTTTGGAATCTCAACATGACCTCCTTCACAGGTGAGTGTATTTGTACCACTATTGGGCAAGGTTGTTCATTCTTTAAGAGGTATGCATTCTAATGTGCTATGTTTTTAACTCTGTTGTTGGTCTTGGCCCCTTGTAAGCCAGGGAGATGGAGGCGTGGTAGAAAAATAAAATTATTATTATTATTCAATTATTGCTGATAATATGCATTGTAAGTGATATATTCAAATGGGCCAAATTCTCAAACTTTTGTGAGTTTTTTAAGCATTTAAAATGCCCAGTTCTTTCCACCACCCCTAAAATGACCCTTTCCTGCAAATTAAATATGACTTCAGCGACTAGTTGCAGAGCATAAGCTTGGGAACAAAGAAAAATTAGTTTTGAGGGGTGTTCTCAAAGTGGGCCTCTATCCACCCTAGTTCTACCTGCAAACATATATTTAAAAGAACAATGTTATTAATATTCTTCCTGCAAAAGTGAACTCTCCAAGGTCCTGCTCCAATTTGGTGGCTCATAAATCTTCACCAAGAGTGGTTCCATGCCTTCTTCCTTTCCCTAGGCATGCCACCAACCTCCCTGTCCATGCATCTATCTATGGACACTTGGTGGCCAGGGGGAGTAGAAGGGTGGCCGGGTAGTGTCCAGCTGTATTCTTCCAGATAGACAGAAAGATGATACACTGATCTCCCAAGGTTCCTCCAAGGACCCTTAAGAGATCAAGAAGATGCCGGCTTCTTTGGCTTCAGGAGCACAGCTGGATGCTACCTGATTTTTCCCTGATCATTAAATAGCTTTTTTGGACCATAGTGCCCAGCCATTACAGGAGTAGATGGACAGGCAGCGGATTATTATGGATGGAAATATAGGTTATCTGCCTCTGAGGGACCAAAGACACATGCAAGTATTACTTAATAGTTATCACCAACAGACTTCTGGCTATCAGATACCATTATATGTAGCAACAGTGAGCAATTTGCAGCCTTTGGACCACATGCAGGCCCTCAAAGTTGGTTTTGTAGACCTTTATGCCTCTAGATTTCCCAGACAGTCATTTTTCTACTGACAAAGAAGGAAGAGATATATTGTTATTCCTTGAAGCATCCAGAAAGAGCAATTTAAGTTTCAACGAACTTGTAAGAGCCTTTGTACTCTTTAATATAAAAATTCATTTCTCCCTAAAACCAGAAGTACACTTCTATCCACATCCAGGCTTGAGAGTTTCTTTGGGTTGCGAGTGTTTTTGGTTTGGTTTTGGTTTTGCAATTTGGGCAGTGTGTATGTGAGAGAAAGAGAGAGACTCATAGAGGACTATAGGGAAAATGGCCTCTGATCTACTGTGGTTGACTATCCAGAGATTGATAAACAACCACGCGCACACACACAAACACATTTCCTCCTGATGATGCTGATGTTGATGATATTTGTATCCTACACACTATCATAAGGTATTTGGGTGATGTACAATAGAATCCGTTTAAGCAATGTACATTTAAAAAAAACAATAATATGAACATTCTGAAAACATGTGACATCTTTGAATAATTTAAACATTGAGTAGTTTAAAATGTTAAAATAATTTAAGCCGTGTGTATATATGAACTAGGATGGAATAACTGGGCCTCAAATGCTTTAATAAAAAGACAAGTTTAACTTGATGCTGCTATGAAACCTATGAAAACCAGGGGAAGACCTGATCAGTCTCTAAGGCAATGGTTCCCAAGCTGTGGATCCCCAGGTGTTTTGGCCTACAACTCCCAGAAATCCCAGTCAGTTTACCAGCTGTAGGCCAAAACATCTGGGGACCCACAATACTATAATAAAACTTTATTTGGGGACTCAGGGCGGATTCCAACATAACAATGGCAAACATTCAATGCCTATATCATCATCATAATCACTTTATTTCTTAATTAGTTGCTCTCCACCAAGGTGCTCCGAGCGACTTACAATTTAGAACAGTTAAAATATATAAAATATATGATACTAACATAAATCCCAGAAAACCCCCACATATAAAAGTAACATTAAATTAAGACCTAACATCAATAAATTAAACTACACGTAATCAGACAAAATTCTATAATAACATAAATCTAAACATCCACTTTAGTATACCCACAGGTTGAGAACCACTGTTCTAAGGGAAGATCATTCAGACTTCCAAAGACCAGGCATTCCATGATAAGGTGGTCACAGCAGATAAATTGTTATATTATAAGAACTGTAAAATGATCTCTTACTATATTTCCCCCCCCCCCCCCAAATTTTTAGGCTCGGTGATGGGTCGAAGTATACCAGTTGAAGTTGATGAAACTGGAGATTTGTCTTCATTTCCAGAACATTCAGCAGAGGAGAGTTTGGACCCTTCAGATGAAAATAGAGAGAACTTGGTGCCTGTGGCATCATACGCATCTTCTCATGGAGTGGCTGGGCAGCCATGTTTCTGCAAGCATCCAAGTTGTCCAGATAGTAATAATATTATACTGGAAGCACATGATTACAATTTCCAGGATTCTGGAAAGGAGTTATTTCCTTGCCCATCTGGTGAATCAGTGGTCTCACCAAAACTTAATCTTTTATCAAATCAACTGCTAAGGCTTCGACTTTCAGCTGTTTCTCCTGATACTGGGCAAAATTCTGACAGTTTGCACAGAAATTCATCTGATTTGTCCCACAGTTCACTTGGTGAAAGCCATGAGAGTGCAGAATCAAACCAGGCTCAGAGTAACAGGACATCATTGGATCTACAGACAGAAGATGTAGGATATGATTCTCAACCTCTGGACGTTATGGGTATCCAACAACTAGAACCTCCATTGCCGCTTACATCTGTCTATAACATTCAGGATCTCCCAAGGCCTTTGATGTCTGGAGAGTATCTACAGGTGGACCCTAGGCTATGTCATGTGCTCCCACAACTGCCTCGACCTCAGATTTCTCCACAAGTTCAGTGGCATCCGAGATACTGCATTCCTGATTATGCACACTATCAGAATCCGTGTAAGTTACTTAGACATTGGGCTATACGTTTGCCCTTCCTTATTGACTAAGGGGTGCCTTTCTGTAAAATGATACTGCAACTGTAACTCTTGTCATCCTTTGACCAGTTCAAAGCCCAAGGTCGTCAAAGCTCCAAAAATATTCCTTTCATAATTGAATTTGATGGCCATGGGATCTTCATTTAAAAAAAACCAAGCAAACAAGGAAGTGACATAAGGTTGTTTCTTTGGTGATTTCATGATATAAAAATGTTTCTTTTGGATCAAAACAGCCGAGAGGGGCCAAAAACATAGCAAAAATGTCCCAATATCTACAAGAGCAGGAGTGGGCAAAGTGTGGCCTGCAGGCCCCGGGTTGTCCATAAAATCCAAAAATTCAGTTTCCCATGTCTCTGGAGAATCTTGGTTTTTGGTTTTTTGCCTTTCCTTGGCAAAAACAGTTATTACTTTGCAGTGGCAACCAACATACTTTCATAGTTTCTATCCTCCCCTTCTTACCTCCTTGCAGCTGTTCCTTCTTACCTTCCTTGCTGCTCATCTTCCATCAATCCCCAAGGGTCTCTCCAAATGTCTTTTGATCTCCTCTTAATGGAGTCCATACTGTAAATCAGTGGTTTTCAACCTGTGGGTCCCCAGGTGTTTTGGCCTACAACTCCCAGAAATCCCAGCCAGTGTACCAACTGTTAGGATTTCTGGGAGTTGAAGGCCAAAATATCTGGGAACCCACAGGTTGAGAACCACTGCTGTAAATACTCTTTGTTCAACCCACTTCAACAGAAATCATGTTGGTTACCTCCAAATGCTTCTGCCCCTTTCTCAAAAACATAATAGATTTTTTTTAAAAGTGTGACCTTTGAGTAGTACATGTCCTGCCATAGTTGCCCACCCCTATCTTCGAGAGTATTCAGGTGCCAAGCCTCCACGCCTCACCTTGCCTGGCTTCTCATGCCTTGTGTATCCATTTCAGGTTGGAAACTTCCATACTTTTGCTATGCAACAAACAGTTGGGGTGTTGTTGTTTGTTTGTTTATATACCAAAACTCTTGCATATTTTCTCTTAGCCTTCATAAGGGTCACTAAATAGCTCATGGTGATAAAACTATAATCCTGAAACTATAAAAGTAGAAAATTGTGAAATAAATACATCTGTTTAAAAAAACCCAAAAATTGCTAACAGTTTGAGTGCCTCCCTAAAATCCATCAAGAAGCCAATTGCACTACAGCTCTAATGGTACCACTAAAATGCCCTATCTCATGTTACTGCCTACAGCATATTTCTTGGCATCTGACAAGGCAACCAAATATTAGTATATATGAAGCATAGCTTTATGTGAGAGGAAACAGTCCTCCAAGTATCCTGATCCAAATCCAGTTAGCAGTCACATAGGTAATATTCAGCTCATTGAATTAGACTGGCAGAAGAAATGGACCTAAATCATTGCACCAATCGCAAATTCTAAATCATGCATGGGCAAACTTGGAAGGCCAAAGTTTGCCCATGTGTGTTCTAAATTTTCCGCAAGGGATATCACATTCTTACTGCTTCTTTTGTTCCACCTCTACTTTTTCACTTTCTGTTTCCTTTGATTCCTTGAGGTCTGTCTTCTCTGGCTAGAAACAACCCCACTATGTATGTTCTCTATTTCACAAAGCTACAGATATGCTAAATGACGCTTTATGAGCACCAGAACTTGAAGAAACCTTTTTTTTTTTTTAATGACAACTCCAAAAATTCCCCAGCCAATATTGACATTGATCTAAATTCTGGAAAACTAGCAGAAGATTTATTTGATACAATTGTAATGGGAAAACTGCGAATTCAGTTCAGGAGTGTGTGCAAAAAAGATATATACTGTACTTAGGAGTAGAATGGAAAACATGTCTATGAATTCCTGGACCAGGGAAGAGGTAGTCCTGGGTATGTGGACAGAATGTTTTTTCTCTGGGAATACTGTAAGTGTGAGCCAATATCATTCCAGATTTGAATCCTCCACAAACCCATTTCTTAGTTTTGTCTAGGAAAAAGCAAAAACAAAAGGTACTTAACACATATCTAAATCCGTGTACCCTGGTTCCTTGCTAATCTCCACTCCTCCTAATACATAACAGCATCCCCTCAAACAAAGCTTTCTTTAAAGCAGGAATCATTATGTAATTTTAACAATATTTCAAAAGGCTTCCCTCCACCCCCACCCTTGAAAATACCCAGACCCGCTGACTTACTCAGACCTGGGGATAGTATTTTGCTCGCTAACGTCCCACTTTTTACAAGGCATAAAATTGACTTCTGACAGCTTTTCGTATTTCCAGTGATTACTGGGCAATCATCACTCACAATAGGGTTTTGTGCTTAAGTGTGTTTTAATGTATACCTTCCAGACAGAAACAATCTAGTTGTTCCCAGGCAGTCATCTAGCCATGGGCAGCAGCTTGCCAGTGTTTATAATAGGCTCACAGTTGCATTTCAAAGACATTATCTGAATAATTCTTCTCTAAAGATGAATGCTGAAACTTGGCTTCCTGGTAGCAAAAGCACAAATATGGGATTACCAAATAGGGGAGAAAACATCAATTACATCTTCTAAAAGTAAATGCAAAGTGTAGGAGTAGTGCCATTCTAAGCTCTTGTTTTTCTTACAAGAGTCCTGCAACATTTTAGGGCAGTAGTTCTCAACCTGTGGGTCCCCAGATGTTTTGGCCTTCAACTCCCAGAAATCCTAACAGCTGGTAAACTGCCTGAGAATTCTGGGAGTTGTAGGCCAAAACATCTGTGGACCCACAGATTGGGAACCACTGTTTTAGGGCATAATTCTGCCAAAGATGAGTGCACTGGGACTTATTCATGTCTGTGTATTACCAGCAGAATTAAACACACCCTTTAAGGCAGGAGTGCAAACTGTGTGACTCTCTAGGTCAAAGCTTCTCAACCTTGGGTCCCCAGATGTTTTTGACCTACAATTCCCAGAAATCCTAATAGCTGGTAAACTGGCTGGGATTTCTGGGAGTTGTAGGCCAAAAACATCTGGGGACCCAAGGTTGAGAAGCACTGCTCTAGGTGTTGTTGAAGATGAGCTCCTGTATCTCATTAATCCGTCTATATTTACTTTCCTTAATTTGACTGGGATACATCCTAAAATTTGAGAAGATAGAAACTGTAGGACACAATCTAGTTTAAAGGGTGGTCATCTTGTGGCCCCCCAGTAACTCCTACCATTACCAATGACTGTGTTGTCTAGGACAGTTGAACTTGTAGTTTAACAACATTTGGAAAACAACAAGATTCCCATCCCTAAGCTCAAAATGAAACATTTTGTAAAGTAAATTGAGCCCTTAAGCATGCTTAAATCTCTACCATTTAAATTAGTTGACTATATCTGGATTGTATTCATAGTTTCCTTTTTTTAAAAAAACCCCAAAAAACGAAATGTGTTATAAAGCTATTATTCTTATGATGTCGTCCACCCTTGCCCTCATACTATCTGTCCATCTTCAAAATGTGGAAGACGATGCGGTCCCCTTTCTTAAGTTTATGTAAAATTTGACTGTTATCTTGACCAACATTTGTATATGAAATGGGAAACATGTTGCTTCTTTCTCTACTTGAGGAGGCTGTGGGAATGATGAAAGAAAGTGAGGCATTCTCCAATCCAAAGTTCCATGTTTAAGGCAGCTAATCCCATGTATAAAGTACGTTTAATTGTCTTTGATAATAGCCATCACATAGCCTGCTGAAAAGTCATACAAAGTGTGACTTCACTTTTCATTTTTTTTATTCCTAGATGGGCAACCACTTCAACAACATTTTGCAAACTCACATAAACGACAGCAACGACCAGTAGCGGGCCCCTGCGTAAGAGCAGTCCAACCTGCTCGTCAGATAATCCCAAATTTCTCCAGTCCTTATTCCCTCAAGTGCAATGAAGAAAAACTTGCACAAAGAGAGATTCCTTCTGCGGAACATCTAAGAATCCAGTAGGTTTCTGCTAGGCTTGAAATTTGTTCCAAATATGGAGATCCAGGTGTGAAGATGGAAATAAATCACTTTGTTGTTTTAAAGACTGTGAAGGCCTGCCTTGGTTTTTCACCTCTCCATTTCTGGGCTCCAGCATTTCACAGATGAAGGTAGAACATATGTAGCCACGGACCACAAGAGTTATTAATAACAAAGAATACACAGTTAGCAGAGAGTAAAGCAGTTTGCTTTTGCATGAGCCTACTGTTAGGAATATTTTATGCTCAATCTGTGAGTTATGGAAGTACCTGATTAGAACAGCAAACAGGTAAGGACAGCAGAGGTTTCTTTCCACAACCAGGAAGGCTTTTATCTTGCAGCTTTGGCAATACGTACATGCAAAGCCCTGTGCAAAAACAGAAGTTCTTTCACTCTATCCTCCTCTCATCAATCTTCACAGCAATTCTCCCACGTAGATCTCTCTTCTTCATTGTCTATAACAATCAGCAACACCAGCATAAACACCTATCCTCAGTCATTATGATAGCTGTCCCACTTTTATCCTAGATCTGACCAATCACATATTGTATTGCATCAAACATGGTGCCCCAACATTGTACCATGGTCACATTGCACTCTAGTTCAGGAGTTCTCGAACTTGTGGGTCCCCAGATGTTTTAGCCTTCAACTCCCAGAAATCCCAACAGCTGGCAAACTGGCTGGGATTTCTGGGAGTTCTAGGCCAAAAAACCTGGGGACCCACAGGTTGAGAACCACTGCTCTAGTTTAATCATCCTTTGCAACTTGCCTTATCATTCTGACTCTGCAGTTAGTACCTGAATATGATGGTATACTTTTGTCATCCTCCTTTCCTCTGCCCTCCCCTGCTGTGTTAACTGAGTTCAAACTACTTTTGCACTCAATTTGTAACAATTAAAACAAGCAAGAGATAAAGGTGGGGATTGGAAAAATTAAAGTAAACTAGGGATAATTACAGTAAGATAGGGATGAAGGAGGGAAATTGGAAGAGGAAAGAGAACCTGAGGCATTTTATAAACAGTTGGAAAAGGGTGATGACAAATGATTAATCGGGACTGTCCCTATCAAGTCAGGTCAGTTTAAGAATATATTATTAATTCGTATTAATTCTGCTGTTTGCTACACTTTTAGTGTAGGTTTCTTGAAATTTACCATTTGGCTTGGAGGAACTAGTTTAATTGATTCAGTTGCAGAATAGTAGATTTTTTTTCAATCATAAGATCTGTGTTTATGGCAGAGCTTGAAAAGTTGGGTTTCAAAATCAATTATGTAACATTAAATGTCAGAAATTGGAAAGTTAATCCATTAGCATGAGCATCAATAATGCAAATTATTTAAATCATTACATTGTCACTAATTAGCTAGTTGATAGAAATATTAAATGCTGGGCAAAGCTTTGATATTTGTAGAAAAGGGCATGGAGTCTATTCCCGTTGAATTTGGGGGAGTACATTTTGTTAATGGCTCTGCAACTTCTCCTTTCATACTTTTTTCTCGGGAAGAAACTACTCTCACCTTTATGCCCCTTTGCTTTAAAAATTACATCCTGGCTATGTACATGTTTAGAGCAAGGCTGGTTTTAAACAAATGTGTGCACACATCGAGTTTATAGTCCCCTCTGTTTTTGGTCAAGTATCAAAGCAACCTTCTGGCTTGTTTTCTACTCTCACTTTCAAGAACAAAAAGGAAAATATAATAGTTAAAAACAATACATGCCCAGTAACCACGAAATATATATGACTTTAGAGTCATCAGTTTTCAATATTTTACTGACCAGCACTCATCTCCTTCCTAGTGGCGAGTGTCAGGATCACCTACTTAATGGAAGACCAGCATTTCAGCCTTATGGTGCCCATGAGGATCTCTATAGGTGCCCTCCTGATTCTGCAGCTCAGCATAACATCCCACCATGCCCAGTTGCCATTCCAAAACCTCTGAGAAATTTTGAAATCAAGGGAACACTGAAGACAAGTAATCTGCCAGAAGAACTACGTAAGTTAGTTTGAAAACTGTGGAAATTAAGTAAATATTCCCTAGATAGCCTGTTGACATCATCTGCAGAGCTTGGAAGATTATTTTTAATTAATTTATTTATTTACTGTATTTTTATACCGCCTTTCTCAGGCGACTCAAGACGGTTTACAGGGCAAAATTCAATGCCTACAATACCATAAATACAATTAAAAGCATAACAAATAATAAAAACTATAACAAAATGAATAAAATATAAATCCATAATTACCAGAAATGTCTCCTATGCAAATGCACCTGTGACCATTTAGGTTGCTTATGTGTCAAGTCTTGAAAATGGGTTAGAGCCTTTTTGACTTTAGCATCAAAATTATGAGAAATGTGCTTCTGAATATCTATTGTACAGAAAGGTGAAATGTAAATGTGATGAATTTAATAAAATATTTGCAGTGTTAAATACCAGTAAGTACCACTGAACTCGCTGGGGCTCACTGTCAAGAAAACAAGCAAAAGATTGCACTATTCACAAAGAACAGGTGGTAAAGCAAGCAGCTTCCCAAAAGAGCCTTTAAACGGCAGCTTTACAAAAATGGCTTTTGGTCCAATATAAAATATGTTATTGTATGTCTACAAGTTGTTTTTGACTTATGGCAACCCTCAAGTGAATCCATCATTGGATATTTCTTGGCAAGATTGTTTAGGGGCAGGGAGGGGAGGTCGACTTTGCCTTCCTCAGAAGCTGGGAGAACGTAGCTTGAGTTTCCATGGCTGACTGGGAAACTGAATACTGGCCTGCAGAGTCCTAGTCCAGTGCTCAAACCACTTTATCCTGAACCTGCTGAAGCTGTTAGCCAAGATTTCATTTGAAGCTGCTCACTTTCCCCTCTAGAGTATTAGGTGATTGAAATGACATGAACATCAAAGCAGTGATGTAAAGACTGCAAGAGGAAGATGTTTTGTGCAAATTCCAATGTGAACTATTTGATTCTTTCCACCCAGATTTATATGTAGAATGGAATGTCATTATTTGTCAGGTTTTCCATTTCTCCAGATTTTACAATGCTAAATGTAAAAGTTGAGCCAAAATATGTATTTTTTGATCAAAAATGTTCAGAAAAGTTAATTTAATTTGAATTTAAATTTAAAGTCATTTCCAGTGTTTATTTAAATAGTACTGTGAAAATGAGGTAGACTATACTTGTCAATGAACACATGTGAAACCAACACAGACAACAAATAACTGACTTGTCCAGTGTCATATAGCTGTTTTGGGTCCCGTTAGGGAGAAAAGTGGGATATAAATAAATTATTATTATTATTATTATTATTTAGAAATAAATAATTTGGTTTTTATGATGCAGTCTGGTTCATAGAATAACTTACCAATTTTTTTTCCTTCAGAGCACAGTCTCTCTGATATAACCTCCCTTTCTCCAACAATAGTATCCAGGAGTAATTAATTGATCAGAAGTTTCCTTGTTTTCTCATGACTTTTGTCTGCAGCATAAAGTATTAAATTACTTCATAATCTGGAGATGTCTAGTAGAAGGTCTTTGATAATTTTGAAGTCACCAAATTAGTTCAGTTTATTTGTATAGCAGAGAAAACAAGATAGAGCTACATGTCTCTTCTGCATGAAATATAGGTCTGCCTATATTTGACTACTCACATTCATCTAACATCTCTCCTAGGTAAAGTCTTTATAACCTATTCTATGGACACAGCCGTGGAGGTCATGAAATGTGTGAACTTTTTGTTTGTAAATGGATTTCACACTGCTGTAAGTACTCCATCCTCAAAGAGTGAGAGTGAATAGCAGCAAAGAAAACCAAGTGGGAATGTAGGATACTGGGCATTTGTGTGCTCAAGTTTTATTCCTTATTCTGAAACATTTGCCCAATTTTGAATATTGTATTCAGTGTTGCATATTTATTTATTTTATTCATTTATATTCTGCCTTTTCCTTGATAACTGAACTCAAGTTAGCTAACAATGTATTAAAACAATACAAGTTCAAAACAGTACAAAAGTCAATATAACTATAAATAAAAGGTTTTAAAACCCAATTAAATGTTTTAAGTGAAAACATTAAATATTAAAAATATTAAAATGTAGTAAAATAAACTCTATACAAAAAGTTGAAACATTCAAAACCAGCACTGTGTGGTATCAACAGCTCAACAGATGTCAGGTGGTGCAATACCGGCTAAACAGTATAATTTCTCCAGTGGTGTAGGGTGTAGACATCCTGTGATAATGCGGCATGTCTCATTAAGAGTCACATCCACTGTTTTAACGTGGTGAGATGTATTCCACTCTGGGCATGCATATTCAGCATGATGAACTTGCAGCAGGATGAACGTTGTTAGTGTATTACTCATGTGTGCCTGTGCCCATACCAAAACCTCTGAACTTAAAAAAAATTAAAAACTGTTGAACTGATGTAGGTTGCTGGTGCAATCAGTCAATCTATCTATATTAGTCTGTAATCAGAATGTTAAAAAATCATGTTGCAATCTTCATTTTCCTATAGATTGATATATTTGAGGACACTGTTCGAGGTATTGACATAATCCAGTGGATGGAACGTTTCCTGAGAGATGTAAGTAAAAAAAAAAAGTGAATCTTGCACAAGCATTTTCACACACAAAGAAATGCTTCAGATTGTCTTGTAGGCAAGAATACTTCAAGAATACTTGAATACTTAAGAAATACGTAGGATTGTCTTATAGGAAACCATGAACTAAAACAGAAACTTTTCCCAACACCCCTTGTGAATTGATTATGTTGTTCCTATCTTTACCTCCTTCATTTTGACTAATTTAAAATGAAGTAGGAAAGTTTTCTTATATTGGTAAAATACATGCATTGATTGATCACGCTCTGTTAATATGAGTAGAAGAGAACTACACATAATGGCTGGCATCCTGTTGGCTGATGTGGTGGTTGTCAACCCTTTCCTGCTTCCGCACCAACAGGAGCTCTTCCTACTGTAATCACTGCACCATTACCTCCCAAAATGTTGTGACTGGTAAGACGAGGGGGATCAGAGAAGGATTTGCCTATGTCCCTGTGGCCAGACATGAAATAGTTATATCCTCTGATACCAGTGGCTACTAAGATGTAGTCAGATATTTGTCCTATCCCCTAATACAGTGGTTCCCAATTTTCTTTTTGACCAGGGACCACTTTGACCAGGGACCACTCTCCAACATCAGTACCAAAAGGGTTACGACTCAGTTTTTGGTCAAATATGTGAGAGGAAGCCACAGGGAGGAGGGAGCAAGTTTGTTTTCTGCTTCCCTGGAGACTAGAACACAAAACAATGGCTTCAAACTACAAGAAAGGAGATTCCATCTGAACATGAGGAAGAACTTCCTGACTGTGAGAGCTGTTCAGCAGTGGAACTCTCTGCCCCGGAGTGTGGTGGAGGCTCCTTCTTTGGAAGCTTTTAAACAGAGGCTGGATGGCCATCTGTCAGGGGTGATTTGAATGCAATATTCCTGCTTCTTGGCAGGGGGTTGGACTGGATGGCCCATGAGGTATCTTCCAACTCTTTGATTCTATGATTCTATAATTTTAGATTCGGTTTGGTTATTTGGGTGCTGATTCAGAAAATTGCATTGGATAGACCACATCAGCTCTAGCTTCTGATACAGAACATATGCTATCCAGTAGTCACCATCTGCTCACCCACAGAAAACCATATTTAATAAGTCTTGGCACTATAAGAGGCTTCACGAGACTACTCACTCTCGTTGCAACGGTGTAGTAATGATGAGGCCACAGATCCTATTTTAGTTCTTGCGGACCACTGGTGGAATAGAATGCTGTAAGATTCTTGACTAATAGAAATATAATACAGCACAGATCACCGTCATCATTTCTCCCTGTTCTACAGCTGGACAACACAGCTTGATGGTGCCAGTATGAAACCCCATAACAGGGACACATCCAAGTGTTGTCCAAGTGCAGTTGGACAGCTGGGAAAAAGAAGCAACTATCCTCTTCCTAGATCACCAGCATAATGCACAAGCATAAGAGCTACCTAAATCCAGCCACACCATATCCAGACATTTCCCCACCACTTTGACCACTAATCGGCAATGAAGATGTGCCCTGTGTCAAGCTGCCATATATGGTGGTGTTCCTGGCCTTTGTTTTTGGAAGGAAGTTTTTTTTATCTCCTCCTATTAAGTGCCTCTTGTGACTCTCCTGAACTCCAATTCTCTGGGAGGCTTTTGTTTTTAGGATACAAATGGTTGCAAGGCGAGGGAGTGGAGGACTACCTACACTTCTGCAAAATTCCTGATGTTAAGCAATCTAAGCATCCAAGCCAAGAGCCTTTCAGTTAGTGCATAAAAACAAGCAATGGCCATATCTTGCCACTGATAGGTATATGCTGCGCACAATCTGTATAAATAGTTCACCTGGAATGTTCTCCTCAGTGAACACCTTAGGCTTATAAACTACAGCATTTGGGTAATGAAGATCAGTAAAAAATAAAAACCACCAAGCAAAACAAGCTATGTGTATTCCATATTGTAACAATAAAGAATTTAGAACTGTGGGCTGAATCCTTTGCTTGAACAAATGTAATTGTTTAAAACTGCAGTAAGGAACGCGTGTTGATGAACTGTATTGCCAACATCCCTCATTGGCAGAAAGGCTGGCAGAGTCTACTGAGAACTTGAGTTTAACATGATCGAGACGTGGATTCATCAGTTGTGGTTTATAACAAATCAGTGTTTCTCCAGATTCCTACATTTGAATTAATTTTAAAATGTTCATGTAAAAGGAGTCAGCTCTTAATATCCCCTGCGGTTTCTTGCTAGCAAAAGTAAATTTTCAAACTGCACAATTTTACAATTTTTGCTTTCAGAAAAAGTGTATATTTTTTAAGTTCACAGAGGCTTGGTTTACTATAGCATAGCATAGAAAACAAACTCCTTTAAAATAAAAGCATATATAATCCAAACAATAATTATTACTTTTTAGTAGAACAGCAATAGTTTTAGTTAATAGTTTCTGCACCGGTGGTGCTTTTACCCCCTCCCCCCATTTTTGAAATTGCATTGTTTTATGAAATTTGTTGAATAATCTGGTCAGCAGCAATGAAATATATTTTATCTCCCTTTGTGTTTTAAGTGTCTTAAAATGTGCTACTGGATGTGTTCCAGCAAATCTAGTGTGAAGAACCCCAGTGCTGAGATTAGTATTGCATCATTGCCAAAATGAACTGGATTGTCTTACACTTTCAGGGAACATCAGATCACGTAAAATACAGTGGCAGGCCTCCAAGCTGCTTTGTCCAACGAGGCTGCATTTTACAGTTTCATAAAAGCTTCTCTCTCTCTCTCTCCCCCCCCCCCCCCCCCAATTTTCTCCCTGACAGAAGACAGTAATGATAATCATAGCAATCAGTCCAAAATACAAACAGGATGTAGAGGGGGCTGAATCCCAGCTGGACAAGGATGAACATGGCTTACATACTAAATACATCCACAGGATGGTAAGTGAGGACACGTGCTTCCCATTTCAAAAAGAGGCCAGCAGCTTCTGCTTTCCTAAATAACTGCCCTTTGTGTGACTTCTCAGTCTGCAGTACTGCAGTTAAACACTTGCTTTGTTAATGTTCAGACTCTGCTCCCTATTAGTACTGAATGTATTTGCAATGGTTCAGAAGCTCAGTTTGCGATTGGTGTGCTTGAGCTTTCTTTATGGTTTTTACAGCCTGTTTAAATATTTTTGCACCCCCTTTCAAGCCTTGTAATGTGAGCTTATCTCATGCCTGTATTTCCTCATACTGATTCACTCCAACAACACACTCAACAGTAAATCTGACTGACAGACCTGGAAAAATAAGCATGCAGGGCAGAAAATTCATTTATGTGTATTTTCATAAATCTTCAAGCTGGAATATTCTCTTTTTTTAGAGTATTTGATCTTATCTCCCTGTGGTTTCTCCATTGCTTCAGAAACTCAGTTTGTCAACATCATCATCAATTCTCTCTGGTGTTTCTTCTGATCACATCCAATAAGGTGGCGTAACAATGGTTTCTCCTTCAGCTGGCAGATAAATAGCAAACCATGCCGGTCCTAGTTGCTTCCAGCAGTTTAGGTTAATCAGGATTCTTCATGCAACACAATTGAACATTTGCAAGCAGGGAGCTAGAGCCAACAGTGCTGCTGGGGAAAGGAGTGATTTCTAAGATAACTGGTCTAATTTGGAAAAAAATATTCATACTAATAGTGACAATAACATGGCCGTGCAGCACTATAAGATGGTTTTTCATTAAGATCAAAAGGCAGAATCAAGCAAAATAAATAAAATCTTTCAGAGTGTCTGTCTCTAATCCCACCCTGTCAACATTTTAAGATAACCAGGTGGAGGTTCTTCACCTCTATATTCCCGTTACATTCCAGACACTCACTCCTTGAAAATGTGACATCTTTAACATATTTTCAGCACCACATCAAAATCTATGTGGTTGAATATTAACAATTGATGTAGTGTATTAAAGTTATCAATCTGTCTGTCTGTCCATTTTATGTAAATTCTTCATGTGTATTAATATGTTTTATTAGGTGTGTGTATTATATTTTGTAAACTGTTGCATAATTATAAGATCAAGTGTAGCAGAAACATATTTTGAAACCTACCTATCTATCTATACAAAAGTCAAAGCATATATACGGGTATTGTGTGTCTGTTTGTACCACAACAGCTGTTGCTAGCTGAAGTGGCCCTCTGTGATGTCACTGGGGAAAAAACTGGGGGAATTATCATATATACTCGAGTTTAAGCCGACCCGAATATAAGCTGAGGCACCTAATTTTACCACAAAAAACTGGGAAAATGTATTGACTTGAGTATAAGCCGAGGGTGGGAAATGCAGCAGCTACTGGTAAATTTCAAAATAAAACTAGATACCAATAAAATTATATTAATTGAGGCATCCGTAGGTTAAATGTTTTTGAATATTTACATAAAACTGTAATTCAAGATAAGACTGTCCAACTCTGATTAAACCATTATTCTAACCTTCTTCAATGTAAATATACTTACATGTCCTCCAATAATAATAGAGTAAAATAATAATAATAGAGTAAAATAATAAATGTAATAATAACAGTAATAAATAGAGTAAAATAATGAATGTAATAATAACAACAATAAAATAATAAATGTAATAATAATAACAACAACAAAGTAAAATAATAAATAATATTGACTCAAGTATAAGCCGGGGGGAGACTTTTTCAGCCTAAAAAAAGGACTGAAAAACTAGGCTTATACTCGAGTATATACAGTATGTATTGGTGGCATGTTCAAAACCCTCTGATCTGGTCAAAAAACCTAGGTTATTTTTTTCAATCAAATGCAACCCTGATTTCCCACTTGTCAACAAAACACAAGTTCCACAGTAAGCAAGTGTCTTTCTGCTCTTTTAAAAAATATAGACACAAATCTTTGAGAGATCCTTTTGTAGTGTACATCAGCCATACAGCAAGTGTATTAAGCCACCTAGTGTTAGGGATGTTCAGTAAGGAATCATTTAAACCGGTTCATACTTTGGGGGGTGGGGGGGAGTGAAAACTATGCTCAGTTCACTCAGCTCCAGGCAGGGGACTAACCGTGATCAGGGAAGCATTTGTACCCTTTGACCCAATGCCAAGCAAGGTGAACCTCTGTGATGACTGTGATTTTGAAACCAGGAGAAGGGCAAACATGTCTGCACGTTTGCCACTGCTGGATCGAAACAATATGGTACAGCAAACATAGAAATGTAGAAACATAGAAAAGTCTGTTGCAACGTGTGGAATTGTTTGGAACCTTAAATGTCTGCAGTATAAAATGATGGTTAAAAACTTTGTCTCGGTTTCTTAGATGCAGATTGAGTTCATACAGCAAGGAAGCATGAACTTTAGATTCATTCCTGTGCTTTTTCCCAATGCAAAAAAGGTAAAAAGTAAATGATCAAATTAATCTCACCTTATTTTAGCTGAAAACACGGGGTACAGTGTGCTTTGAGAGCCTTTTCTGCATATTAAATAAAATTATCTTGGTATATGAAATAATAACATCTTAGAGGACGGCTTCACAACAATTCTTGGCATACAGTTTGTGTCAAGCATATTCCTCTACTAAAAAGCATTGGTGCTCATGTGTTATGAGAATAGTTCTAAGTGTCTTGAAAAATTACAAAAATTTAGGGTTTATCTATGGGACTCTTAAACTATATTGAGCAAAAATGGAGCCTTGTGAAGATTTCCCTCATTACAAATTTAGCAGAGACCAGTGAGGGCTGAATAACCTTTGAAGTATATATGAGAAAGCTGGATGGAGGCTTAGATAGTGACAGACAGTTCCATTGCAAGCATTTATTTCTAGTTAGCTATATAAATCCTCCACCAGCCTTATCCCTTGAGTATAAATAATAAAACATTATTTAATCTTCATTAATATGGCTATTTAAAAAATAAAAGCCAGATCTGTCAATAATGAAACATATCATGCCTAACTGAGGACTGAAGCACTTTGAAAACATGTTTGTTGTTGAAATCAGCATGATCTGGCCTCCTTAGTGCCATTATTTTCTTAGGAGTGTGTACTCAGTTTGTGTCCAATTCTTCCATTCAGCTATATGGGACTTGTAGTTGTCTATATGATGCCCATAATTTTCCCTTACACACTAGTGATTATCAACATCTGTCAATTTGAGATTTCCTTCCAAATGGGCACTTTCTTCTAGCATTCTGCCCCACATTGAGCCCAAAGTCTGTTTTCATGAGCAGCCATGCAGAGTTGCTTGCAATGAGCCATGTTCATATTGCCTGCTATCATCTGGAAGTATCTGTAGTAATAATTTCGCATCAGCATTAGAAGTGGAAAAGAGTATTTTACTCCTCACCATTTCTTACAAACACACTGGGGGGAAATGTAAAAACAAAGCAGCAGCTCTTTCTAAATTTGCTTCTTCTCAAATTACAGTCAAGATATAGTTGTCTGGACAAATCTATGAATTAGTGAATATCCATAGCCATATAGCACCTGTCTACTCAGGGGTTGGTGACAGAGGAAAAAGAAACCACTTATTAAAGGGTCTCCTCTTTTCTTGGAACTTTGCACCTCTTGTCCAGACACTCCATAAATATACATGAAGGTAGTGCCGCTGTGTAATATCCACTGGACATCAGTCAACTGGGAGATGCATTTTGGAAATACATCGAGCTGATGTCAATTAAGTGCATTAACACTGTGATAGTTAGTGCCACAAAGTGCTGACAAAAAGGTTTCACACAGGTGATTTCCACAATGAATTGTTTAAATTACACATAAGCTCAGAGAAGGGAATCCAAAGCATGACTAATGATCTGTCATGTTTTGGCAATGGACCTTTAGAGAGATGGGTGGAGGGCTTTCTAGGCGAGTCTGTAACTACAAGTTTCTGAAAAGCTGTAGCACAGCAGAAAAGGAATTTCTTCTCCATACATGCCTCTCAATTTTTTTTTCTATTGTCCTTTATCCTCAGGAACACGTACCTACCTGGCTTCAAAACACTCACATCTACAAATGGCCCAAAAATAAAAACAACATACTGCTGCGATTGCTGAGAGAAGAGGAATATGTTGCTCCCCCAATAGGACCTTTACCCACTCTCCAAGTTGTGCCATTATGAACGTTCTAAGTGCATAGGAAACAATTGTTTTATGACTGTTGGCCACTAGCCAGGATTTCCCTGGCTTTGCTTTCTAGGTGATGAAAAGCATGTGTGTATACTCACTCTCTCCTCCTGCTAATCATTGTCTTGGAATAACACATGCCCATGTGTTTTCTTTTATGCTGAATGTTTCCTTCTGCAATTGATCGGGCATACTGTTTCTCTATCAGTGCTTAAACAAACTGTAAATGGAAAGAATGTCCCCCATCATTTTTTCTTTTGCTTCTAGCAACTTGCTTTCTAAGGATGTGGCACAGCAAGTTAATAGTGTAAATGATACTGAAATAAGCCAAACATTTGCCTCCCCTGACTAGTTCAGGGTTCCTTTTGCTATTGCATTGTGAAACAGTCTCTCACAATTATTTTGTGTACACAATAAAAGAGTTGTCTTTCCTATGGACAGTCATATTTTATCACTGTAGAGGGAACGTAAATATTTAACACTTCCATTGTTGGTAAAATGTCGGCTAGGGAACACCCTTCCCAGAGATATTAGATCAGCCCTTTCTCTGTTAGCATTTCGTAGGAAGGTTAAGACTGGTTATTCAAGCAGGTATTCGAAAAGGCAGTGTAACAAATATTGGAACATGAAATGACTGGATGACGAGATTTGATCTTGATTTTAACTAAGAGATGCCATGAGTTATGTAGTATTGACTTTGTAATGTTTGTATATTGATGCTATGGTTTTTAATTGTTTTAATCTGTTTTATGATGTTCAAGCATTGAATTTTGCTACTGTAAACCGCTTTGAGTCACCCGAGGGCTGAGTAAAGCAGTATATAAATGGAGTAAATAAATAAATAAAAATAGACAGAAACCCCAAAGTTATTGTTTGGTTAGGCACATTGGTTGGGTTTTTTGTACTTCACATCTCACTAACAAGGCTGCTGTAAAAATAGTATCTCCCATGTATGGCTCTCCCCCAATTACATATGAGATCACTTATCCTATAAAATGATATTGACATTTTGTATATTTCTCTACTACAGTTGACCAATGATGGCATAAACCATAGGGATCTGTATTGTGCTAAACAGCAAGTGAGGTGGAGGACAGTAAAAACCTATGGCAGAGATTGGTTTGCGCTGGTGACACAACAGAGCCAAAAGATATGGCAGAAGAAAAGGGTAACTGCAGAAAGGAGATAAAGGAGAAAGTGATCAACTATATGTGCTCTGTTTCTATATCTAAGGAGGCTGCTTAAACAACTGACTGTGCTTGGGCAATGTTCAAGACATTGTTTTCCATACAAATAGATCCCACTCCCCTCAAACTCACACACCCTTGGAAACCAGACTTTCAAGAGACAAGTACAGGCAATCCTCGAATTACAGACATTCAACTTACATATGACTCTCATAGTTACAGACTGGGTGAAACAACAGGAAGTAAGAGGACATCTATCCCAGAAAGGAAATTTCACTCCTGGAAGAGTTATCACGGAGGAATAGTGTCTCCACAGTAATTTAATCTTCAATCTACTGGGGAGGGCCTTCTCTCTGTCCCACCACTCGCTTAAGCATGTTTGGTAGGAGCACTGGAGAGGACCTTTTTAGTGGCTGCTCCCCAAAAAACCAGCGTGGCCCTATCCCTGCTGGCCTGCTGCAGGCTAGTGGGGAACTTACCTGCAGGCACTTTTGGAAGCCTTCTTCTACAGCGAATACATTTTTTTTGCACAAGCACCAAGAAAGTATGAGTGATAATGTAATGGACAGTTATACTAGCAGTTTATGCTGGAAGGATCCTGGCCTCCCATTCTTGTATTAATGGGTAGCAGAGGAAAGTAGTAACATATGCAGCATAAAGCATCAATCTCTCAGGTAACTGGCCACTCATCAGTTCTTGATTACAAGACACAAACTAATGCTGTAGAAGAACTTTTCAAGCAGGCATGTGTTCCAGACTCTTGACCACCACCTTCCAATGGTGAGGTCATCTGTCATCCAGGAAACAGGCTTCTCATATCTTGTGGCAGCCAAAAGAAAGGCAATTATTTTTTGCTTTTTGTTTTACGGTGTTTTTTTACTGTGTAAAGATAAAACAATAGAAGAGTAGGACAAAAGTGGATGATTTATTTGGTGATAAGAGAAATTTGGTTTATAACCGCAATCCAGAAGTTTTTGAATTTAGGGCATTCTATTCATATTTGGAGATAGTGCCTACTTGTTTGTATTCCTTCCAACTCTGATGAGGTAGTTTTAGTAATTCTTGACAATTGATTGGAGAGTCAGATACCACTTTGAACTGTTTTAAGTACTCCCTCCCTCTCTTATATTTGCTGACCTAGGCTTATAGGGAAGAGAGGACAAGATAGGGAGCCAATTTGAATCAGTGATACCTAGTCTGAGATCCAACAGCCAAGTTGATCTGGGAGAAAGACCATTTCTATATGTAGTTTTTACCAGTATCTTATATGATTGCAGCTTCCCCTTTGCTTTGTAGGACATAGTTGACTCATAAGTGGGGGATAGGATCATAGAATCTCTTTGGCTTCTGCCAAAAAGTGGATGGTGTATTTAAAACCATATAGTTTTATTAATTAAGTGGAGCATGATTATTTTGTTTTACATTGTCTACATATGAATAGGTCTTTAATGATCTTACCAGTCCAGTCTATAACTGATTAAATTTGCCGGCAAATAGGTTCTTATGCTTTACTTGGAGCAGAGAAGCTAAGACATAAGCAAACTGGCTGGACAAGCACTGGACCAGCACAGCTGCCCAGTGCACCAAGCTGTCTCACAGAAGCAGAAGAGTTGTTAGAGCTACTCATTGTTTCCATATGATACTTAATCAAAGATCTTTGTATACAAATGTACTTTAAATAGGGTGTGTCACCAGGGTCTTACAAATTGTCAGTGAACTACAACCCCCAATGGTTTATAGCAGTGCAGCTCGAAGTGGCAGTCAATAGACTGGTGCTAGTTTGTGAGCTATTGTATTCTAGTCCATGGCAAGTTTCCAAAAAGAATCCGTTCTAGTCAATGGCTACAAATATGGTGCCAATTCCTGGCACATTGTGAGGAACACTGTGTTGTTTAAGCAGCATTGATTTGCAGAATAGAATTGCAGCAATGTACAGTAGTTTATTACAGGAAGAAACACAAATATAACTCACAAATATAACTGCATATCTAACTCTGTCCTTAGATGTTACATAAGGGTGCAGAGGACAGCAAAACATAGGATGGAGAGCGTAACTTCCTGTTTCAGCTCTCTCATCCTATTGAAAATTGCACTCCCAAAGCTGTTAACTTCACAGTATATTTACTGAGGCAGATTAAAAAAAAAATCAGTATTCAGGCTCTCACACCACTTAGACAAGAAATCCAAAACCTATGACTATATGTGTAAGAAAAAGAAGACCCCCCCCCCCAAAAAAACCCAAAACAGTTGAAAAGGACTGTTATTAAAGGACTAGCCTTCCTTATCTCAAAGTACCAGGGTGAAGGGGTAAAGCAGACATCAGGAATGACTGCTACTAACTGCAGTAAGGTTGAAAGAGGGAGATTATTGTTACGGCAACATACAAACGAGACAAGACTCTTGAAGGAGAAAGATAATTACTATAATTTATCACATGTCCACATTAATGAAGCTTGGGTGAATACCTGAGTTTCAGAAGACACAATGCTGTATATCTTTGAACTAGTTTACCATAGCAACAGGCAGAAACTAGCCTCTAGTAATCACCTGTCATTGAAAGAACAATGTAGCCTTGACTTACAATAGAAAGTAAACATTAATGAAATAAACCTAGTGGGCAGGATCACTTAAAGCAGCTGTACTCATTTTCCTTTCTCTGGCACACTATTCATGAGCCAGGGTTAGCTATTTATGAAAAGATAATTCTTTGTTGTAAACACGTATGTATGTACAAGGCTGCTTTGGATTCTAATGCTATGGTATTATTAAAAGGCCTTCATTACAATAGCTGGACATCCTTATTTTGAATGTTTACCAAGTACTGCTACCTGTTGAGAAATAAGGGATTTAGACAAGGAGTGTTTAAGGCAGAAATGCAGGGTGTCCAAAATTATCCTTACAATTTCAATTTTATAGAGAGAGAATGCCTTACTGGTTCATTTGGAATATAATACCTGTAATAACAAAATCGGCACCGTCACTACCATCATATCTTCCACAAAATAACAAGTGTAATTTCGAATTAAGTTTTTCAAATACTCAAGCTTCTCTAGCCTTATCTTCAGCAGGCAAAGAGTAAGGTAGAAATGTTTGGGGTAATCCTGAGGTTGGCAGAGCTGACCTTAACTGTGAGCATACATCCTATGAAAAAGGGCCCTGCTCATATTATGTTATGCTCATACATAACCTTGGTTCTTGGGGGAGGGATGTAATTATTTGTATTACACATTTGTACATGAAAAAAATGTGTATATTGTCCCTTCTCAATGTTTGGGGCCACCATCGGGATAAAAGGAACACTGTGCCTCAGGGACAACCACCCTTTCATGCAACAGCATAAAGTAATCTACTTTATGAAGTATCATAGCTGTGGGAAAGAAAGAATAGAATAGATAACAGTAGGAATCAGATAATGAATGGTGTAGAAAATCTTTTACATTGGCTGTAGGATTGCAAGGTGGATCTGCAATGCTGCAAAATGTGTCAGGGCTTTCTGTGTCATGGAAACAAGAGGGCTAGGTAGAGATATAGAAGGAATACATAAGATGTCCATTCCTAAAAATTGCCCAGCAGAGCATGGAGAGTATGAATAGAAGAGAAGGTCCTAATGAAATCCCCACTTGGTTTTTAGAAATGAATGATTGTTTAAGTTAATTAGTGTGGCAATCTTTAAAAGGTGAAATTGCAGAGAAGCTATTCAACCTCTCTTTTTGGGCAATAAAAGAGCACCATAGAAGAGCTTTAGGGATTGTATATGGCCAATCATTACTGAGATGGAAGTAAAACCATTTAAAATAACAAAATAATTAATTTATTTCAGATTGGAACAATGTGGAGAAAAGTGTGTAATTTAAACTACATAAGTCAGCACCCCTTTATGCACATAAGGAACTATTTTGTATAATACATAGCTTCTAAGACTTCAGTTGCAAGCATACTTCTGTGTGGGGGCTACGATACTATACCGCAGTAGCAATGTTAAGACTTGGCTGACAGCTATGCATCTTTTACTTAAGCCTTAGAAAATTCTGTGAGGCTTCATTGTGATACTGTCTTTTTAATGTCCTTCCTCTCTGTGCTCTTGAATAGAAGAAAATAAACTTCCTGAATCGTTCGATTTACTACAAAGGAATCCATTGTTTTCCTAACCAAGAACAAATATATATCACTAAACAGTTTGTGTGAAAGCTCTGAGGAGTCTTCTAAGAAGATAGCTTATTCTCCTAGATCCATTTGTCTAATGAAGT